GTTATTATTACATATGTAATGAAATCGCGAATGTGCGTAACAGCCATCGCGCGAGTCCTTTGGTGCGGTGCGGTGAGACGTGTGAGCGGCGATGCCGAGCGCTAAGCAACGGCACGCTTCCCCTCTTGCCTCTCCTGCCGTCGCATCCATCGTTTGTCAAACTGGGCTGGGCTATACCTCGAGCGACCGGAGCCGTTTCTATTCTTTCTATAGGCGCGCTCTCATTAGTACAATTTCAAACTTTAATATCTCGATTATTATTACGGATATCGCTAAACGGTACAGGACTTTTATGTTTATTTTGATCCCATCTACCTTCCTGTGGGAGATTGGAAGAGTGGGACTGGACACCCTGTATATTAATAATGCGCACAATATTATTTGAAATATTTAATTTGCAGAACAGTTTATATTTGCAGAATGTTTATATTTATCAGAAAATTCTCTTCAAAGAATTATTACATCCTTGTACAAACAGAATATATTTTAATGACAAAGTAGTACAAAAGTATAACTATTAATACTACATTAAATTCAGCGCAAAACGTATCAACGACTTTGGAGCAACAAAATGTTGACGAAACGAAAGACAAATTCTAACTAAAATCGTTCCTTGGTCAACTTAGAACAAGATCCTTTAAAAAAAAATTATCAGGCTCCGGAGAGAGAGAGAGAGAGAGAGAGAGAGAGAAAGTTGCATTTAATTATATTTCTTTCTTATGTTCTTAATTTTATATGTAATACGCGAAAATTGCAGACATCTGCTTTGTTAACATATTTAGTAGATAATAAAAATGAAGAGGAATTGTAATGTTAGACTATGATACAATCATATGCGATTCCAATCGATCAATTTGATATACAGTGGGCAACAGATCATTCAATCAACAAAATCACACGTTAGCTTAATTCATTACAGTATCTTCACGACAGTGATCCTTTTTATACTGAGCACTTGATACGCGTATTAACTAGTAACTTTCTATTAAGTTATTTTAATTTCAGCAATGTATTTAAAGAATGATGTACTAAATTGGTACAATATGCATCAAAATGATTAATTAAATATGTTACGTCCCGTAGGCGCCACGATTCTTTTCTTTCGAAAGACGGCAGTCCACGCCGCGACTGACGATGGCATTTATGAGATTCGAGTGCAATCTCCTGTTAACAATCTGAAAGAATTAGGCCTAAAAAGCTTCCACGAAAACTCATAAATGCCACTCAAGAAGGAAAGAACAACAACGCTGATGCGAGGCTGGAAACGCTAGGCTTGCGAAATCCATATGTCTGCGTCATACCCTAGCTGCCACCCGAAGCAGACTATTCCATATTAGATAAAAACGCAGGGCTAGAAGCGGTACGATTACAAAATAAGGAAATGCCCATATAAGGAAATAACAAACACCCAAGCTACCACCCGAGGGTGACTAACAATTTCATATCAAGTAAAGGTAAAGCCGGCGCCACGTCGCGCCAAGACATAAAACGCTCCAAAGAAACCCCCATATTAACGTTATCTGAGACCAGACCTAAGATTCCCTACATAAGATTTCTTATACGCGAATATCCTAAGAAAACTGATTAAACGTCACAAATAATGATTTACCCAGCCATATTTTTCGGGGCATAATAAAATTTGACATCCACTCGGAGCAATTTTCCCGCAGACTCGAGAAAATCATATATTACCTCCCCTTCAAAGCACTCGAGATTAACCACGATAGGACCTAAGAAAAAACGTAAATCACCGCTTGACATTGCAATTTAACAATTGCCCTAGACAAAGGAAAAGAAGCTCCTTTTTGCGGTATAAATAGGGGCCCGCGAGAGAACGCGTCGTCAATAGCAGTCAGTCAGTTATTCAGTCCGTAACGTCAGTCTCTCAGTGTCAGCAATTCAGTCAATAGTCAGTCAGTAGTGAGACAGTAGAGTCAGTGAGAAGCAAGTCAGTCAGAAGTCAGTAAAGTCAGTGAAAAGCAAGTCAGTCAGAAGTCTCTTAGAAGTCAGTAAAGTCAGTGAGAAGCAAGTCAGTCAGAAGTCTCTCAGTGTCAAAAGCAATTCGACCGACCGATTTGGACCGTCTGCTCTAAAGGTAGAGGGCCTCTGTCCCCTCTACCTTTGGTTGGCCGGCACAGGAGACCCAGCTCAACATTTTAATCCATTCACCAGTAAGTCTTAAATTTTCTTGTTTTTTGTTTCTCTTTTTTTTGTTTGTTCTTGGGTCCACAATATATACATAACTCCTATTGTAGTGCACGTTAGAGGTTCCGCGAGAGCCACCCGCTCACGGGGTCACAACCCGATCGTGCGCAGAAGTCCGCGGGGCCGCCAACCCGAACTCGACCTAGCTGCGACACCATTACAAAATGTAGACACCGAAATTTCCTACTCCCCTGTTCCTCCCGACGACAATGTTCCTTTAAACCTATCCATCCCTTCCGCTCCTGACCCAATACTCCTCGATATCCTGCAGTATTCTCCTCCTCCCATATCTGAGCGATTCCCTCCTCCTGACCCTCCTCTCGAACAACCAATTCCACCCCCTTCCATAGATCAATTCCCAACCCCTCTTCCGTCTTCATCTCCCTTTGATCCTTCTCCCGAGGAATGGGATCGGATGTTCCGATTCTATTCCACGGCTCATAATGAAGCCGACCAAATAGGTACAATATATATCCCTGGCAATCCCACTCTTTACACAGTCCTTTACCGACACCTCCAACCTTTGTGCTCCTGCACCGCTTTCCTCACCAGCGCCTTATAACCCCATCCCTCTCCTATCCCTATCCTATTACACACAATAATACACAAAAATACACTCA